GGAAGTGTTCCTGGGTGCTGGGATGCGATGTACAGCGGGGAATTCCATCTCTCTAGCAGGGTTTTCCAAGCTGAGGAGACCGGTGTTTCCATCAGAAAGCCCAGCTAAGAGTAAACCAATACCAGAATCCATTCATCCTGGTATCCAACTAGTCGTGTGATGGGAAGTCTCCTTCTGATTCACAAAGACTGGCGACTGCCTATGGTAATGACGACCTAAGGCAGAGTTTAGCTAGACTGACCTACGGACTCCGGGGAACTACAACGGCTAAATAAGGAAAACTCCGAAAAATGGACATTATGTTGAGGTCTTCACGACCAGCGAAGATGGTCCATTCAAGTATCCAAATGTATAAGTAATTCGTGTAGAAAACATCAACAAGCAGATCTATCTTGTCTCGTTTATCTTAGATATGTCGCATTGTCAACCAAATGGAAGGGTACCAAGTCTTTTCAATGTTTTTTGTTATTACTTTGAATCCTATATTATCGGGTATTCGAATAACACTAGAACTCCAATAATCCACCAACTTTTGCGGCGGTTCAACAAATCCCATGTAAAGGCGACACCAATGAATCGTTTCAACTCCTCAATCGTTACCAACTTCCATGACTCGTTCATCTCCATCCACTCCTGTTTACTTCATTAACAAGCAGATCCCAAATGTTAGCAAAACAATCCATAAAAATATTAGTTCTTAGCAACCAAGCAGGAACTGTTATTTCAATCCAAGCTGACTATAGTCGAAAATCCAGCGTTTTAACAAATTCTCTAACACTCAACGCCTGTACTACCACAGCGACTACTTCCTCATCACTTTCGCCCTCATTATCTGACTCATTTTTTTCACGTTGTTCGACAGCAACTACAGGAGTTTTACTTCATGCAGTTTCTTCGCGTACACCCTCGATTGAAAGTCAATCCAAAAAGGAGCTGAGTTCATTCCTAATGCGCAGGAAAATCAGCGGATACACGAAATGTGCTCATTTTTGAGAGGCAGATTGAGCGTCTTGCATTGAACCCAATGCACTCAGCGCGCGACGTGGACTTAGCGACGTTCCATGCGGCCATACACAAAATTATAGGTAGTCTCTTTCTTGTTAATGAAAGGATAAAGGATGAAGGGTTCGACGTTGACCAATTCCTGAGAGGTGCGCCATATGTTTGACTTCATCGAGCATCGCAGAAGTCATTGGATGAACACCTGGCCAAAACAGTGACCTGCGGTGGCCTACCGATGTATCCTGTTGGCCTTTTTACTCTTACGGACTACTCTGGCAGCAGTTTTGTAACCGTGGAGAAATTGGATGCTTCTAGAGCCCGGGAAGCGGGTCGAACCAAAAATCGACACTGTGTATTGCAGGGTAATTTACTTTTAACAACTGCTCTACATACACACAAACACATACACGCCTGAAGAACAGTCTCAATACAAGAAGCACCAGGATTATGTAAACGTAAATAAAACCAAATTTACTGTAACGCTAATAACCTGACACTCCATCTTTGCTGGTGTCTCAGGACGCTTTGGAACAGAGGCATCACCATCATTAGGATGTTGCTCTAAAATATTACCATGCATGTGTACTCCTCCAACACAATCATAAAATATCCTGGAATGCTGAATGTACTACCAGCAGGTGATGATGGATAGGTAATCGTCTTTGCTGGAGGTCGCGACAAAAGTGGTAGTTTCCTTGCTTAAAACAAAAATAATTATTGGAGCTTACAGCACTGAGAACATAAACAGTGAAACTCATTACGTACACTTGAATATGGCTAATAGTTTACGACATTAAGACAATCGAGTTACTCATTGCCACGAAAATCTAACCCTCGGGAGAAGCCGGTCGTAATCAAGTTTCCTGGCAATAAGTGGTTCCAGAAAATTGTACGAAATTTGCTCAACCACCGAAACAGGAATTAATACAGTTTAGAACCCTAACTCGGCTATCTACAAGATTTCAACGCTTAAAGGATCACTTGTGCTGTAGACTCCAGGAATCATATGAAAAACATTCTTGAAAAACATAAACGTGAAAGTAAGAACGCAGTTATCAGAAATAAAATTAATTTTTTCTATTCTGAAGAAACCACTGCCTTTGGTGTCCACCATGGCAGGTTCGGTTTCCAGCGGTGAAAAATAGTCGTCGAAAGAAGCAACATCAAAGGCATCATCCCAGTCAACCTTGAATGGATCTCTAGATTTTTTTGAAGTTGAGGGAAGACCTAAATATAGGACGTGAATCGCAAGGATTTGAGTCTACAACTGTTGAAGACTGGATATATAGATTTTACGAATTTCTATAAGGAGACATTTGTGGATTGAACAACAGATGGGAGGAACTCACACATAACATCTGGTGTGGGTTGTGAAGTAACGCTGCAGGCAGCAATAGAATGATTAATGATAGAGACATCATTCACAGTACTAAAAATGATATGAATAAGCTGGAAGGGATAGAAGCACGTAAAAAATCGATGACATTAAGCCCAATCTGAGGAAAGATGGGTACAAAGAGTGTCATTAAAAGCCTTCGAAGGAATAAGAGCTCAGAAAATATTCTTAGACAATACAAGGGAATGTGTTGCTATAATAACAGAGCAAAATTGCTTAAGGAAACAAATGCTTAATGTATTAATAAACTGCAAATAACCTTACGAACAATCATTTGTTCAGTCTGAAAATCAATATGTAATCAATGGCACATTCCCAGGACACGACAAAAGAACGAATTTTTTGATCATAAAAGGCAAGTGGATCTACAAACAGGGGCACTTGTTATATACATGACATAACAACGCCATCTGAAGACGACACTACTGTGAACAACAGCAGATGAAACTCAATGAAAACACGGGAAGAACGTATACAACAGATAAGACTATGAAACAACCTAAAACACTCACAAATCTAATGGGTTTCCAACTACAGGGTTATTTAAATATATCTCATCGATTTTATCAGGCGTACCCCATGACTCTCCGCCGAGAACATCACCATGAGCTGCATGGATAAACGACCCTAAGAGAAAAATGACAAAATTTCGAAGTAATAAGGGAAAAAAGCGAGGATATAAAAGATTGTTCCGAAATAACCGTCCACTAGGTCACTGACATTGTTTAATACTGAGAAACCTATACGCCCAGAGAAAATGATACAGAAATCATTTCTCTGTGTATTCACATCACCACCTACGAAAAATTCAAATAACGTTTTGTCATTGGCATTGATGTGAAAAGTTTTCACGATTACACTGCTGTACAGGCTTTGGGAGGCTGAATAGTAGGTAGTTATTTCCCAGCGCCTCCAAGAAGCCCAGTAGCTTCACACTTCTCAAAAGCCACAAAGCAAAAGAGCCGTCTGAGGTAAGAGCAGATTTCGAATGATTGAAACAATCACCGCGAATGAAAAAGGAAAAATTCGACGGATATCCTGTCCAATAACATTACAAGATTTTGGATTCTGCCACTCATGTGAAGAATTACATTTCATAATTGCATAGAGAAAATGTAGAAATTCAAAAGACCCATTCAAGAAGCCTGGTTATGCACATAGGGATAACCTGATAAAGGGTTATAAGAAAATATGAATAATCCTTTATAAATTTAAGTCGACAATAGACCACTTTGTATCTAATAGTAAAAGCCTTATTTATGTTTGAATCAAATTTAGCGTCCCAAAACACGACAATCCACAGACAACGTAGGGGAGCTAGTGGGGAATAGGAGTCTATGAAAGCAGAAAAAAGCTCTCTAATATAAAGATATAGCTATAATTGACGAAAATAATTATTAAATAGTATACAACACTAAAGTAAATGTAGATTATAATTATACGTCAGCAATAGTATAACCAGTGTAATTATTTGAAATCACACGGTCTTGAGAAAAAGGGGGCGCACATGCATGACTCCGACATTTGCATACATTTGAGATAAAATTTCAACGAACTATGAAATCTAAATAGCGCGAGCAATTCCAAAATTTAGCGATAGTATTCGCGTTCTAAAAAGAACTAACAACGTGGACAATTGTAAAAATAAAAGCTGAAACACCGAAGCGATCAACCTCGGATGGGCAACGATATCTTGTTGTTTCCATAAGGTGGACCCGTCTCTTTTTGCCATTTATAAGGAACTGATTTACCATGCACGAAAACAGCGGAACGCAGAAAGGTTCCGAACTTCCGCGTTTGTTCGTTTTGTCCGTACCATAACATGCCACTGGAATACACAAACCATTCAACAGTTTACTGCTCTAAAATAAAGAAAAAAGAAAAGAAACAACACTGGTATTGAGACAAACTTATTCTCTACGACAATAATTCTATCCCTAGGTTCGATCTTCAACATGTCACATCGTTCTGACTGCACTGCATCGCGAACTTCGGCAGTTGTGAACTCGGCCTAGGAAATCACAATGTTTTAACTACTATTACGTGAAGTGCAGCCACAAAGATACTCAGATATAAGCAAGACTCGAGACCTTATACGGAGTTCAAACCCGCGATTACCTTTTTCTTCCGGGAAACACGTGCTATCCAAATCAACCAAACCAATTGCTTTGCCTTTCTCTCAGCCATTTTGTTACCTTAACGGTGCCATCTGCAATCACCTGTCAAGGAAATGATCTGCGGAGTACTAATCGGCTATGAATCTAGTTAAGCCGAATCTGCAGTTAAAACCAAAATCACAGAAGAAACATGGATGAATCAAAAGCAAAGTAATGGCCTCGGTTGGTGTGGTGTACACCACGCGAGCTCCCGGAAAAGGTAACCACTTGAAGCCCAGCAGAGACCCCGATTTTACTCACACCTCAGCACCTTCATGGTTGCATTTCAGCCTAGAAAATTTCAGCTGTCATTGCAACATCAGTTTATAAGCGCTGCTAAGTATAGGAAATGACTGCCTTTACAAATAAGAAATCGGCGCTTTCAAACTCAATACCTGCAAGAAACTAAAATACAACACATAAATCGGAGCAGATCTTATCAGATTTTAACAACTTTCATCTCCACTTTTAGTTATACGACTCGCCTTCCTACCTACTGTGTGGATCCCAGCACTACTCACAATAGAATCGTTTCCTCGCATCCATCATCCACTAAAGTTTTCCAACCTTTACGTGTGGCTTCAGCTGTTGCTTGAGGATTTTTGCTTAACCTTGGATGTCGTAGAATGCTGGTCGAGGCGATTCTCACTTAAGTCCTGAGATTGCCGGGCTAGAGCGTTCCCAATTAGATTGCAGAAATTTTTCCCCGGCAATTCCAGTACCAACTTCCCGACTCCGGAGGGATGACAGGGCTGGTGATCCCGGGACGATCGGATCAGCACCATGCTAGTGATTGCCGCCAACACTATCACAGTGCTATCCGTCCCTTTTTAACGCAATTTAGAGGTAAGAAAACAATAACTTGCTTCTTACTTGTCCTAAGAGAATCAACTTACTGCCAGTAATAGTCTCCTTAACATAGTGAATTTCGGACGGTGATCTGGGTTGATATGCCAACATGAGCATAACAGATCATAGATCTGTTTAGAACAGGTACGTGGTTTCTCAAGACGCTCTCCTGCCTCTAAGCGCCTCAACACCTTAAAAAAGACGGATCAAATCCAACAAATAATAGGAGAACTTGAATTTTTAAAGAAAGCGATTCGATAACGGTAAATGTCTTGATAAACTTTTAAGTCTAACCTGAAATCGAACCACTTTCAATAAGGTTATAAAACTAGTTTAAAAGATAAGGTTACGTATTAAAATGTATCCTAGTTCTAAAGAAGGCGAAGTCCACTTAAAGTTTAGCAACTATGGATTAAAACGTGTCAACAACATTGTGTTAGCTATTTAAGAACTGTATATAGGAAAACAAGAACATTAGTCAAACACAAGCTTAATCGAAAGCCCGTTCTTGGAATTCTTATGAATTATATGACAAACTAAACAAAAACTAACATCTATTGCTCGACAACCAATCCATGGGTCTTCTCCATAACTGAAAATCTCCCATAATGTGACGCCAAAAGCCCATACGTCAGAAGCATGTGAGAACCTGCGGTAGCGTAGCGCCTCTGGGGGACACCTTAAAATGAACTTTCGTGATACACTTACTGCCACATCGTCTTACTGCAGATGAGAGTAATAAAACAACAAAGAACATAAGAAAACTCGATTCTATTTTTGAACGAAAACTACTGCATTATCAAGTGGTATCGGGAGCCAAATAACAAAACATCAAGATCAATTACCTCTCCTCTCACACTTGAAAAGTGCGCATGTGAGAAACATGTTTCAAACAGCCATCAGTGTGTGCCAAAGATGAGAGCAGAAGAAAGAATGAGTGAAAACAGCGCAAAAATAGCCATTTCGAATGGTTAGGGAAGTTGCTTCCCGGGATAGGTGAAGAGGAAAAACCACGCCCTCAAACGAAAATTCTGGTGATGATAAGGGCCCGTTCATCTTCCTCTTCATTTCCAACGAAATAAGTGCAGCTATAAAATATTGCATGAAAAGTGCCGGTCTGAAGAACTGGGTAGCAATGGTTGAAATACCACCGAGCACTCTAAGAGGCCAGCTACTTCTTAACCGACTCTACGACAGTCTATGCGAAACGAGCAACTGCATAATTTGTACTAACGGGAGAGACGGTATCTGCATGAATTCGGGTTTAACTGATCTCTTTTAAGACATAAAGTGACGAAAACATCGGCGAAAGAGGTAGACCACTGTGCATCCGTATAAAAGAACATCTGGTTGGTAAACTTAAAGCAAAATGAAATACTCCAATAGACGCTCCTCGAACACAGACACATAACGGAAAAGATTTTCAAGTAGAAACCACAATCCTCGCATAGGAATCGAAAACATGAGAGCGTAAAACTCGAAGTGGTTTGGATAAATTCTAAAAATGAATCGCAGAGTGACTTATGATAACGTATAACCTCACATCATACCTTAGGATGACTTTCTGACCTGAGACAGGTACACTCCTGGCCCCGTGCAGGACTCTGTGCGACTAGTCTCCACCAAATAACTGGCACGCTTACAAAGAATAAAATAGTGGATTTTTAAAAGTAGCTCCTTATTGTGCGAATGAAAGCTTAAGCTGAAAAGAAATTTGAGCTTTCTAAAGCAAGTTTAAGTAACCTAGTTAACTCAACAAACTTCCTCTGTAGACTTAAGTTTTCTTTACTAAGTTTTCCACAGCTCTCCCTCAAAGAGGGATTTCATTCGTGTTAGTTTCGAGGCAGCGTGGCGCGTCTCCAGGTGGCGGATAAGAGGTTAATTGTGGACCAAGAGCGACTGTATGTTTCCCTGAGACGCAGGTGGATCCAGGGGATGAACTCCCTGGTTCTGCAGCTCCGATTTGGCACATACTTTCTGTATTTACGCAACGTATTCATGCACGCGTGTGTGGGTGCGCTCTAGTTTATGCGGATTGTATTCTAGGAGTATTCGGCCAAAACCCTGCAATCAAGTGATAGGGATGTATATGGGAGGCGGTTAGGAGTCGCCTCCAACAAATAAGTTACAAGCGCACTCCGCGAGAGACTGGTAAGCTACTTGTGAGTATACCTGGTCGTCACGTTTAGAACTCACTAAGCTATGCGTGGGTATTAAAAAGCCAAACAGTAAAATGAACGGACTTCAATCCTATAACCTCAGAGAAGCCACCGATTCGGCAGCGTCGGGTAGGACGAGTACGGAGAGGGCGCTAAAATCTCAGGGCCAATGTAAGCTGCCTGGATCGTAACGAACAACGGTGAGGATCTGTGCCTACAATGCACGTACACTTGCATCCGAGTCCTCGATAGAGACTTGATTATGCGTGCAAGAAGTATACGGCACGACGTTATCGGATCTGCTGAGGCGAGAAGACGGCACCCATTCAACGCCGTCTATGACCCCGAAGAACTGTTCCTCGGAACATGCGACAATACAGAAGTCAGCGGTGGCGACGTTCTAGTAAATATGAATCTGGCCATGTGCGTCTGCTATCTGAGTTTACCATGACGACCAAGTCCATTCATAATAACTCACAATTCCGGAAAACTTTCTAACGAAGGACGTAGGAGCCTCCCAATGCAGAGAACCATAACGAATTAGACCACATCATAGGAAATCCAAAGTTTTCCCTAAATGAGGTGTTGTTCTCTCAAAATTCTACTTGGGATCAGATCATCGTCTCCTTCGTGCAAGTTTCCATTACATCACGAATAGAGAAAAAGCTGCCAAATTCAAACAAGGAAGTCACCAAACCACCATAAAATGAGACTTATCCAGCTCAATAGCTGATTGTTGAGAAGACGGTGCTCTTGACAACATCGACAAGGATCACGATCGGCTCATAGAACATTCCCTCACGATAGAGCTATGAAAGCCGAGTTCGAAAGCCAACAAGAGACGTCTGTTTATAGAAACACTCGAGCTGATACGCCAGCGCAGAATTGCACGAGGTGCAGGCAGCCGCGAACTAATGTCCAAACTTGCAAAACAATGCAGACAGGCGATAAAAGAAAACCTTAAAGAGGGTAGAGCAGCAGTAATGGTCGCAGCTGCAGAGGGTGGGAAGAGCATTCGCAAAGCCTACCGAAGCTTCGCCAATTACAAGACCAAGATGACTGCACTCTGACGCCCAGATGGAACAGTTACAGCATCCAGAAAGGCAATGGAGAATATCATTCACGATTACTAGTCAGATATCTTCACAACCAGGTCCTTCTGCGCTGATAAGCAGAAAAAGAAGGCAGATATATCGGCACATCACCTTCCCTTTCGAAGTCCGACATGGTGTTTCATCGGTGAAAAATTAAACAACACGAGATATGGACAGGATAAGACCTGAACACTTGAGGAACCTTCCATGAGTCCTTACACACACTTGCTAGGCTCTTCACACATTACCTCTCAGGGCGTCTTTACTCAGTATGTAAACATTTATCGTGAACTATATAAGAACTTCACAACTAAAATATCACCACTGTAGAGCGATACTAACATCGACATAAAAAAAAGGGCGGTCAGGGAAGGCAATAGCATCACGACAAAATTGTATACCGCCACCATCCAGAACGTTACGCGAATATTGGCATGGGACAACATAGGAATTAAAATCGATGGGGGACAATTACATCACCTTAGTTTCGGCCAGGACATCGTTCTTATAACACCAAGCATAGACCAATAGTAACAAATTCCTAGCCACTTTGATAACGCCTTTGGAAATATTGGTCTTGAACAAATCTCATAAAAACGTTATTGAGAAAAGGATTGGCTTCGTGTGTCTCTTTCTCGTTCAATTAGACGAATTTCTCTGAATGACGGTGCAGCTACGCTTATCTTCGTCGGGAAATCAACATGATAAACGACTTATCTCCAGAGCTGAACAAGAGGAAGAGAGCGGCTTTTGCAGCTCGCAAATCCATCGAAGTAGTGAGAAGAACAAAGAACGGCCGACTCTGTGTCAGTCATTTCGACTCCATGATTCTCGTTGTCTTAGCTTACCGGACACTTGGTCGCTGCAAAAGCAAGATAAAGGATCACTCAATGTTATAGAACGCGTAATCAAAAGGACGATGCCAGGCGTACTTAGTACCACGCGAATAGGTAAGGGGCTCGGAAGCTCTGACCTACACCAAAGATAAAAAATCGAAGATCCCGTTCTACATGGCAAACATGCCAAATTTTTGAAGAAAAGGTGCTCTGGACACGTTACGCGTATGAATGGCAACCGATGGACACGAACCATTAGTGACTGACTCTTCCGGACGTCAAACATATTGCTGGAAGACTATCGACTCAACGGTTAGAGTTCTTCACGAAAACCTTGGTAAATCCACTGAACTACTCTTGTATGTTAGAGGGAGAAGTGGAAGAATTACTGGAACCCACTTCAGTCACTCGACAATCAATAAGAAGATAGGTGATCCAGTTGAATAAGTTGTATATGTCCAGGTTATTAAAGTGTTTAGTTGAGTAAATTCCGTGTCAATTTGATCTTTTCGTGCTCTGAAGAAAGCGAAACCGCCTAAAAGTTAGCCATTATTGTACTGAATCAGCGTTGTTAACAATCCCGTGTTTTTGGACAAAACATAATGTACCGGTTTCACAAAGTGCACTTCACTTCAATAACCTTTCGTTGCTTCTCCTGACGACAAGAGCACAAAAAGATGTATTTCACAAATACTGTGACCACAGCTCTATTAACATATATAATAGTGCAGGCATTCCGTTGCTACAAGGACGTTTATTGGTCCTTTAAAACACTGTTACTAGTTCGCCTAGAACTCATAATTTCAACAACTCGAAAAAAGACAGACCTTCAGATTTTTAAATGTGATAACGCAGCTTCAAGCACTAACGATATACTCGACCTACTTGTATACTGCTGGAGGAAACCTTGATTGTTCTCTCGACCGTAAGTCAAGATACAAGTCTAATGAAAACGAGGAAAACCGATTTTTGGGTTTTAGAAAATAAGAATTCTTCAGGACAAAATAATTCGACTTTAACACTTTAGGTAAAAAACAAGAGTTTGAGAAACCTAAGCAAGTACGTCCACTCAGTTAAATGCGCAATTAGTTTTCAAATTTTTTCGCCAACTCGATATAAATAACAAAATTAGAAAAGCAACACAACACTGGCTCGGAATGCTCAAAATTGAACAACTTTACTGAACAAATGTACAAAATTTAGAAGAAAAACTTTAAGAACCCCTACTCGTTAAGAACGAAGAAGGAACTGACCACGAGAACGGCACTCGATTCTGCGAATGCATGATGTACGTCCTTTCATTCTCCTTGAGGGCTCTCATCAATCCAAAATCACAGAGTTTGACGACCTCAACAAAGGTTACAGAGTCACTTTATACCAGTAGTGAAACTAAGGCAGAAAACTACATTTACGAATAGACTACACATGGTCACATATTACAAGGTCAAGCTGTTTGCTTCCTTAGAGAACTTCGATAGAAAGTTGACATAGATTAGTAGCCTTGCGTGATGCGATTAGACTTGTTTCAACTCCAATTACTTAGTTTTAAATTTTTCAGTGAGAAATGGCTGCAGCTTTTTTTCAGAGAGTAGAAAAGTGATGTTAGCCCATCGTAAGTAGCCGAATTGGAGTTCCAGCTTCTTTTCGACCAGATCTGTTTGTTCATCCTATTTGTACGGTTACGTATAGTGCAGCTCTACTAATACTCATGCGAAAGTTAGGGCATGCTGAACAATTCACCTTTTTCAAACAGCTTCTTTGAAAGCACAAATCAAGGGTGTGGTCTACTTCTAAGAATCGCTATTTTTCCAATCAATTAAAATAAAATCTTCAACCAACAATTATTAAATATTTTAGAACACTTTTTTCTAAACAACTGCTCCAGTATAGTCCAGGTTTTTAAAAACAGCTGTTCACAAACTGCCAAAAATATAGATACCTTCTCGTTTCTGGTAAGCAAAATATTTCTCGCTGCAACATCTCTGTGGACATATTGTTTACTTTCCAGAAATGCAAGTGCTTTCACAATTTGAAGACAGTAACCGAAAAGAGTGGTCAGTAAAGGAGCCGGTCTCGAAGCATCTCGTAGACGAGTAAGAAGTTCACCGCCTTCACACAACTCAAAAACCTAAACTGAAATGTTGTGCATGTGAAGAAGTATAGATGGAATCAGCTGCCTAAAGAACATGGTTATAACTTTAAATAAATGGTAGAAATGTTATTTCGGCAGTCAATCAGATAAAATTAACGAGACAGCCAGCATGAAGACTTTTCCTATAAGATGGAACAAAGATACAAGATAAAAACACTTGCTTTACAACGAAGCACATACTGGGAATGCTTTAAAGACCTCGCTGAGCAAAAGTGCTTAGGAGAGGAACAAACGAATCATTTTACCTATTGAACAGTCAAAGTTTACAATGCTAGTTTCAACTTTATAGTTCAAAAGTACTATTATAACATGAACCTTAGCCGTTTGTAGGAATAAACAGTCCTATCCTCTCAACGGTTTAGACCGTCATCGAAGGTGTTCCTTGACGTCGAGCTACGGTGCAAGGCGAGGGATTCATCCCTCCAGCTGGAGCTTCCAAGCCGAGAACGAATCCAGCGTTCCCATCAGGAAGTCCAGCTAAGAGTAAGCCAATGCCGTCCTGGTATTAAACTAACCGCATGGCGGCAAATCTCCCTCTGATCCACAAGGGCGGCGATGGCCTATGGTGTGCCAATACGGGGAGACTTTGGTCAAGCGAACCTCGTGATTTCAATGAACCACGATAGCTAAAAAAGCAAAATTCCGAAAAAATGGAGACTGTGCTGGGACCCGCACAACCGGTGAAGATGTGCCGTCCAAATATCTAAGTAAGTATGTAGTAGTCTTACACTCATTTCCTCGCCTTAGTTGGGTCAGGATAAGAATTTGCAAAAGTAAGAATGCTGTTTTTAAGGGTAATTTAAGATTAAGAGAAAGAAATAAAACATGTTACTGACCAGCATTTTCGGATTGTCAACAATACCGTAGAGTCGAATGACATTGTTATGTTGCAGCTTAAGCAAATGACTTGCTTCCACTAGGAGTTCGTCCATAATGGACTGTGATACACCTCGAAGAATTTTCAGAGCAACATCCACTTTACCACCAGATGGATGACGCCATAATCCCCGTTTCACAACAGAAAAGGTCCCTTGTCCGATAGTTGACAGCAAGGCGATCTAGGCAACAAAAATTGATCACACAGCTTAATTACTATTACTTTCCAAGTTTTCCAGAGTTCCAGAAAAATACCTGAGTTATTGGTATTAAAACTCTCTTTGGATCAACAACGTTATGGTCGACATTCTCGTTCTTGACATAAACCAGTGGTGGTGGGACATTTCGTCGAGATTCTCTCTTTTGAATCCCTGCCAATACGTTTCGTAGGCGACGAACTTGATTATACGACAGTCCAACATCCTATAAAAGCAATTCGCTGAGATAATTACATAGCAATAAGATTAAGCGGCAGTTGTAGTTACCTGGAATTCCCTATCCCTCACGTGACAAATATGATCCAGACGTCTAATTTGCAGACTAAATATCATAGCCTGTTGAAATTCTTCAACTTCAGCTGTTCTAAACGCTTCCAACAAAGTGGATTCAACCATACCCCCAGTAATAGGACTCGACATCCCTGTAAACAAGAAGCATACTACGGATTTCACAGCAGAATTGAGACTATGCAACGATACGGAACCACTCCTATGCTTCCTAAGCTTCTATGTACGGAACAACTATGTGTCGTAAGGTCCCAAATACTGGGCGATTCTTTTGCGTTTTAAGGTCCTAAAACTCTATATCGTCTTCTCTAAACATAAATGTACTTAAAAAATTACTTAAAATGCTAAAAAAAAATGCGAGCATAAATGAACGTCACTATGCTATAGAGCACGCTATCAGCAGTTACTATACACCTGTATCCAACGTCGACCAAACGCATCGCGACACGCACGCAACCAAAGGATATGTTATCCGTTCTACGTAACATCTAGTAATCATTACTAGTTACAACATGATAAAGAACGTGAACAAAGGACTTGACAAAGTAACAGTACCGTTCAAATATCATTAATTAGGGCAGAGACAATACAATCGGTGGCTAGAACTGGTGAAATCGTTCCAAACGCTGACAATCTCAAAGGATGTTTTTCTTCAATAAGCAGACACGAGGTTGTTATTATAGAATTTATTAGGATACAATAGCTGACGTTTCGGCGGTTTTGCCTAGTTCAGAGCAGTTTATTCGTTGTAAGTATTTAAGTTAGTTGATGGATAGCAACCGCACAGAGTACTACATGGGCGATAACTCAATCAATCAATGCCGAGGTTAACAGAAAGTCGGTCTCAAAGGAGTTTGACTAAAACTGCATAATTTGGTGTGATTCTTCGTATTAATTACGAAATTCTGGGAGAAGAAAAACAACTTAATTCCAAAGGAACTTCACAACTACTATGTCGTCTTAGAAGAAGAAAAATATCCGAAACGCAGAAAATAGAAGAATAAACGACGATTTTTACCAGGGTGCTCGACTGTTTTCATGACTATGAAGCGAATGAAGAAAACGATAGATGATTTACTTAATGCAATATCATTTATAGACCACGAGAATTAAAGAAGACAATAAGAACAGATGAGGTGGTAAGAAAATAAGACTGAATGATTGATAATTTAACATGATCTGCTGAAAAACAACCAGTGGTAGTGACGAGAAAATTAGCCGCTAACCGTTTGTGTAGGGAATGATGAAATGAGTTAACCATACACCAAGGTGCATCAGAATGTGCTTACGCGGCATGACGTTAACTGATAACATGGAATAGATTACTGGAGAATTATTCCATACATGGTGGATTGCCTGCATCACCTGTACATCAGTCCTGTTGATGATCGAATAACACGAGCGGGCGCCAGTAAATCTTCCACTTTTCCCCGTCACGTGCAAGAGCAGCCCAGTGGGTTCCGCTCGCTCAAGAGACTCGCCGAGCATCATATCTTTCTTCTACGATTTTCGTGAAGAACTCTGACTATCGGGTCGGTGGACTTCTTGCTCTACGTTTGACATCCCGAGGAAACCAGTCGCTAACGGCTCTTGTCCATCGGTTGTCATTAACACACATTACGTGTCCGGCCCACCTTGTCTTCAACTGTTTGGCGTACAGAACGGCATCTTTGATTTTTGATCGTTGACGCAGATGGGAGCTTTGCATCCCATCCTCTACTTGTGTGAAACGGGATACTCCTAGCATCGCTCTATCGACTGCGCGTACGATAACGCTGAGTGACCTTTCATTCTGCTTACGCAGCGACCAAATTTCTGACGCATACGTTAGGGCAGGGCAGGAAGTACCGTTGAGTCGAAAAGGTGGGCACGGAGTCGGGTGTTCTTTGTTCTCTTCACTACATCCTCGATGCTCTTGAAAGCTCCCCAAGCTGCTCGTTTCCTTCTGCTCAGCTCTGGAGCTAAGTCGTTCATCATATTGATTTCCCGACCTAGATAGATACAACTGGAGTATTCGGAGATATTCGTTCCGTTCAGCGTGAATGAGGCATACGAAGCCAATCTGTTCCTCATGAACATCGCATTTGTGAGATTTAGTCGAAGACCAATCTTTCCACAGGCTATATCAGAGTCGTCAAGCATACGTTCCGCTTGGCTAATGTTTAGTGTTATAAGGACGATGTCATCAGCAAAGCGAAGATGGCGTAACTATCGGCCATCGGTTTTTACTCCCATATTATTCCATTCCAATGTTCCCATGACGTTCTGGAGGGTGGTGGTAAGTAATTTCGGCGAGATGATATCACCTTGCCCAACCCCTCTTTTGACGTCAATGTTAATATCGTTGTGGAATGGTGATATCTTGGTAGCGAAATTTTTTTATAGCTCATGAAAAATCTTTCCGTACTGATTAAGGACCTTGATTGTCAAGGGCTTCCATGACTGCTTCTATCTCAATTGAGTCAAAGGCCTTCTCTAAATCGACGGAGCGGTGCTTTGTACTCTAGCGATACTTCAATGAGTCTTCTTATCGTGTCGATGTTGTCCATCGTACTAAATCCTTTTCCAAACCCCGCTTGCTCACATTACTGTGCTTCGTCCAATGTTCTATCAAACCTGTTTAGGATGACTCGAGTAAAAGTTTGTAGGCGACGGGCAGCAAGCAGATTGCGCAATAGTTGCCTATATCGTGTAAGTTACAATTCTTCAAAAATGAAAGGAAGCGAGAGGGTTCGCTCACCACCAGTCCGCTTGCTCTTTGCATACGAGTTGCATCGCAGTTTGTTCAGATCTGCTCTTAAAATACGCATGTCAAATGAATAGAAATCTAAGAACACTTCTAAACGAAATGTCGACCGTACAGATTTCCAAACGCTCATCTGCATCCATCCATACCCACTCGTCAGCAGCACCTTATCTTCGAGACAGCCGCTCTTTGCGTCCCTAAAGGAGAGGCACAACTAACTACCATAGAACCACAACGTTGCTGAGATATTTGCAAAACTCTGGACCGCAGGTGTCTATGGTGGGGAACGAACGCGCTATTATCCTTTCCGGGGAGTAACGCGTTCACCACCATAGACACCTGCGGTCCAGAGTTTTGCAAATATCTCAGCAACGTTGTGGTTGTATTTCGCTTAGTAACCTGCCATGAAAATTATAGAAGGCAGAAAACAAAACGTTAAACATTGTAACTACCATAGACTTCAGCTCAGGTCCAAGGTTTAATAGTACCTGCTATTGTAGCGCGTGTTAAAAAGACTTTAATATGAAGAGCATTCATGAACATTTGTGATTTTGCTATCGATAAGCTTTTGGACGAATTAACGTGCAACCGACATCCACAGAGGGAAGATCAGCCACGGACGTATGCATTAATACGCCTATAAAATATAGAGAGATAAATTAATTCGCATTACATTTCTACAGTTTGCATTAACGATAGAGTGGACTCTCATTAATCCTGCCTCGTCTCAAGCAAGAACAAACGTGCCCATCGTCGAGCCCACCATGTTCGATCTGGGATCGGCACGAAGTGCCTTCACTAGTGAACACTCAGAATATCCACATCAAGAATACCCATGGACTCCTGACATCATGAATGAACAAGACGTAAAAAGTAGAATTTTACAGAGTCTTTACCCTTTCATTGTTAAAGAGTGAGAGCCTCCCTTAAGAGGATATTAAGTTGTGCGTAAACTGACGCGAAAGAGGTGATGTGATCCAAAGTGATCCAAAATGAGTCGAATGGCAAAGACCTCATTGAGAAAGGGTGAAAAAAAAGCTTTTTTCCCAAAACATTGCAAGTTTCAAACAAAGAAAACCTTGTCTCCAGCAATTTCGGTCAAGGTATTTGTAAAGGCGAATTTAATCTGAAGGTGCTCCAAAACTTGCAAGCTAAGTAGAACCCTTGTTCAAAAACATAGACCAGAATCGAAATCTGATGTGCAGTGGGTCAATAGAAGAAGCCATCTACTCGCCAGTGCGGAGTAATTGCTCGAGATTGCATCCCACACCGAACACGTCCTTCATCTAGACCGGCCTGTCCAGGTAGTACAACGAAGTCTGTGAAACGGAGGCCACACCTACAGTAATCTGAAACAAAGGAATTGGAGAGTACGAGCGGACGCGAAAGCCTAAAATGCGCTAGGATACAATGCTTCCAGCTCCTGAACTGAACTAGGACTTAATGGCAGTGGCGGAGTCTCTCGATCTTCAGTGCGACCGTATTAGTGTTTCGACCATGTTGGAGTGTTCTTCAATGTTCAACATCTGCAGAGAATTAAGCCGCACAGTCATACGATTTTGCATTGGGATCAATGCGCTTTCTCACCCTGATTTCTTTCAGATGTAGAAATATCCGCTCCATATACTCGATCCGACACAGCTTCACCTGAATCTTCTTGAAAAGTTTGTTCCGAAAATAACATCTGCTTCAGAAACATGCGAATAAATCTGGATTCACATCGTTTGCACGACGAGATGCCCGAGCTCTTCCAGAAGGTGCTGTCTTCCTAAGGGACAATACGGCGGTTAAACAGGGAAGAAATGAACTATCGTCTGGCTGAAGAGAAGAGATTGCAAAAGTTCAATTACTATCTCCACGAACCCGTTCGAAGAACAACTTCCCAATAATCCTTTGCCAGATTTTTCGGTATAAGCAATGGTAAAGGTGAAAAAGCCACCAGTGAGGTGATAGTCGTCGGTCACTATGAAAGAATCCGTGCCGTGGACATCATCAGCGCCGCCGGTCTCATTTTTATCAGTAGGTACAAGCAAACTAACTCCTCCAAAATACATATGGACAGTATAGCGTCCAAACCGAGCGTTATGGCTCAAATACCAGTTTACTTACTTATTGACTTATACTTGGATGGCTCGTCCTCACTGGTTTTGCGGGCCCCAGTATAACCTCCATTTTTCGCAGATTTGCTGGTTAAGCCATTGTGGTTCCTTGGAGTCCCGAAGTCAGCCTGGCTAAAGTCCGCCTCAGGTTGTCACCACCACAGGCAGTCGCAGCCCTTGAATACCAGTTTATTGTCCTAAATTTCAAGAACACATACGTGATGGGTAGAGATCGAAGACCGAAACACGGATCATTTCTAATCTCATCGCGAACCTTCCAAACAACT